CGTAAGTCGACTTGAGGAAAGGGAACGGATACGTGTAAAGCGAAGGAAATAGGTCGTACCGCGGTCACCCGGCAATCAACGTGTTAATTACTATGTTAATTAGTGAACAACCACAGACAGTTCTGTCGGTCGCGCAGTCAACGCCTCCTCCTCTTTGCACGGCTGACCCTTAACTCCGCGTTCCCTTCCCCTCGAGCTGGCATGAAAGCACATTAGGTAGCCGTTTTCATCGTGGTGTCGACAGGTGATGCGCCCATAATGGCCAATGGCACGCTCCGAAAAGGGCGTGATTAATTTTCATAATGGCTGCTTCGACGACTTAACGAGAATTTCTCGTCACGGTTCACAAAGAATCGCGATTCTTTTTTTTTGCCGGAGAAAGGGCAATTATTCGGCAAATGTATCTTAACACTCGCGTCCATTTTAATTTTCTATGATTATTATTTAAAAAAAAACTAATCATTAATAGTGTAAGTGAGAAGAACCGGGAATTATTATTCGATCCATTTAATGCCACGTTTCAAAGAGAAATGTGGAAAGTATCATTAACTTTCGTAGCCAGAGTTCAGAGGTATTTTCCAAGCTTTTCCTGGCAAAGTCTGTAGCTTTCTTCTGTTCGAATCACAAAAGTGTGGCAAGCTTTATTAACCTCGTTAGACACGATGGCCGACTGATATTTCGTCGGCGGCCAGTTTAAAACGCGAAATCAAAGAGAATAACGAGGACGGAGTTCCTTTGTAATAACAAGGTTACCACTTCACCTTGTACCAAGACGCTCTTCAACCTTTTTGAACATCTTCTTTCCACAATTCTCTCAATGAAGCCAGTCGTTCTGAAGCGCGTCCCAACTAGTTATGACTTGAACGAGGAAGCATAAATAAAAAGGAACTGCTACAGGAAGAAAGAAATCGTTTCGCTCGTTCACGAGATAACAATTTCATCCTTCAAGTCTTTTGGAATGTTCATTATCCTCTTTTCACATAATATCCGCTTCCTTTCTACTGTAACCGATTATTAGGAATATAGTTTCGACGAAACAGACAAAAAAAAAAATGAAGAATAATTTGTTAATTAATTTGCGAGCTGATTTTTCTTTTCTAATCGACAGATTAATTAGAGTTGTTAGAAGCATAATTGAGCCGCGGATTTCGGGTGTACATTAAAATGCTCCACGAATGGAGCTATCTCTTCATTAATTATCACCCATTACCACCTGCTTGATACGAAATCATTCCCGTGATTTATGTTCCAGCGTGATTAAGCCCGGGAAAAGAATGACGCTGATCATTTTTCACGTGTGCTGAACCACGTCCTCGTTACGCGAGCACACGCGTGCAAATCACGTGTGCTGCTCGAGAGGATTGGTAACCAAAATCGGCCGAGTTGAACGTCCTTCTCTCACCTGCGCTAGAGGTTTTTGTCCCGATTACATAAAGACGTCCGGCTGCACGTGCAGCTTGCTTTCTTACGCGCCTTGGATAGAGAATCATATTCCTATACAATTCAATTGGCGCGTCTAAACGATGATTAATTTCAATTCAACCATTTTTTTTTTTTTTTTTCGGAAGACTGAAGTTGTTAGGTGACGAATAAATTCGCGTATTTTGCTCTAAAGTCTTTTCTAAAGAACCGAAACAATCTAGATAAATACTACTTTTATTAAAAATGAATACTTGAAAAGCAGAGGTAACACCTGTGCAGAAACAGACACCGAATACCAGCACGATCGGTACGCGAGATTAATTATTAATAGTTTCGTACGTTCGATCGGTCGATAATTCGCGTATACGTAATTAATTAATCCAGCGGAAATGCAATGGATGCTACTGACAAGCAGTACGTAAGCCACGTTAAAAGGCTTTCTGATGAATCTCATGGACGGCGAGTTCCTTCGTCGAGTTTGCAATTAATCAATTTGTCGCATTTGCCATGGAATTCGCACGCGACGTTGTTGACGATGATATCGCGGCGACCGGATGCTAACGATCACGAGAAATCGCGTGTCGGAAGCAGAATGAAAATTGGTCGGTTACGGGAGCATTTAAACAAAGAGAAAGTTTCATACAATTAGGTACTTTGAATCGAGTACAAAATTAATGAAAGATAAAACCCAAATAGATAAAAGGAAATAGGGCAACAGCCATATTCTCAGAGTTTCAAAGAATCTATGAAATCAAAATCCGATATCAGTCGCGTTCGGTATCTTTTCACTGAAGCTTTTCGACAAGGGTGAATTCACGAAGGGTGCTCGTTGACGTCGCGAAGATAGGGTGAAAATAAAGCTCTTTCTAGAAGAAAGGGAGGAGGAGGCTAAAACGATAGTCACTGACATGGAAAAAGGACTGCTTCGAAGTAACCGACACGAAAGAAGGAAGTCACTCGTGTGTGACATGGTGATGCAACGAGAACGGGTCACCTGTGCTCCGTAGAAGATAATGCATTTAGAATTTAGTTACTGTAGTTTTCTATTATCTGAACACTATTGTTTTCCTATTAAAGATGCAATTCTATTTTATGTGTAGAAAATGAATTCTATTAAAAATTCTGAAGATAAATACAGAAATAGAAAGATATCACTTTTCCTATCCAACGCTCATATATTTCAAATACTAATTTTTCAGTGTAAAATAATTTTTCTAATTTTAATTGATAACCAAAAATTGATTAAAATTATACTAAAAATGTTGTCTTGAATTGTATCTCATACTTGTAACGGAGAGGTATCTGAATAATTCTGAATAGTTTGCGTTGAAGTTCCTGAGGAGGTTTGGTACAATGCATCGTGAAGGGCGCCACCAGTCGGGTAGAGTTTATTGGCGAGAGGACCTGTTCCTTTAGAAGCCCGAGGGCTTTTTTTGACGCCAGGTACGGCGTGGGTGGGCCCAAAGCGGTAGGCTGGACCGGCCAACCTCGTGTCTGCATCAGGATTCGGTTTTTTTGTAACGAAATCGCCCCAGGAATCTTTCGCTTCTACCTCGCTTCTATTCCGGATTTTGTCGGACTTGCTTTTGAATCTCTGCTCTCGCGTTATTTTTCGCGTGCCGAGATATCCAAATAAAGTAGCAAATGATAGAATTTATTTAACACAGCCCTTTTTGCGAATTTATAATTGAAGATCTATGAAAAGGATCAATAGTAAAGCTAAAGAGAATCCCACAAAGACCAGGATTCCTTCACGAGTTTCAATTTAAATTTGAAGCTGTCGCAAAGTTTCTCTGGTTAATAACTTTTTGACGTAAAGAACCGTATAATTGATCCTCCGGAAGCGTAATTACCTGACAAGCCGGCAAGCCTTTTATATTCCCGAGAAAATTTTAACATCGCTTTGTTCGCTGACGCGTGTAGTGGTTCTCTCATAATTTGCGGTTCGGGTTGTTTCGTAAAATATGTATATTCCAAACAAAAGCCGCTACTCGGGCTGCTTTACAACGGTTCTACAAAACAACTCGTTAGCATGCGCCTTGACACGGCAATCGCGATGTCATGACAAGTTTGTAATTCCTCTACCTTTAATTTGCTCGAGTGGAAACGTCGATTTTTGCGATCGACCATGGAACACGCATTTCGCGCCCATAAACCTTGTAATAACGCGCTTAACGAGCGGTAGTCTCATTAAACGGATATTTTATTCGCTTCGTTACTATATCACCCCTAAAAGACCATAAGAGTATTTACAAAAAAAAAAACCGGAAAATTATGCCGAAGATTTACAATTTTACGACTTGATTTAGAAAAAAGTATTCAAACTAAAATTTATTTCGTTCTGTCGAAATCACAATTCATTTTATTTTGACACATTTAAGACTGTAATTATAGGTTTCGTAATCAGAATATCCCTATGTTTACTGCAAGCTACTAGTCCCGTGATTGTTATGTATCACAACAAAACAGCATCCAGTACTGAGCACGATAATTATGTCCATATTGATGAATTTGCCTGGCCAAACATTCGCGAGGATCGTTAAAGGAACGGGAGTATTTCGCGGATTAATTAAAGCATACTCGTTGTTTATGTAACCGAGCACGATGTGCGCGTCAAATCAACACAGGTGTCGGCTAGTTATACAATCTACCACGTAACAAGTCGAGCAGTAACGAGTCTAAGCTTTGAAGTCGTCGCGAATTATATTTCACTTCGAACAATTGTGAGCCAAATCAACGAAATGTGGATAATTTTAAATCGAGTAAAATTAGGTACTCGAATTTTAAATTGAATTCAAGCTCTAAATGGTGGATTGGGTTAAAAAAAAGCCCAGGGCTAAATGAGAGAATGTTGCTGCGATACGGTATATCTTGAAAATTGCTAAGAGAGAAGTTTGATAAAACCTGGAAAACTTTTGCCTCGATATCTTGCACGCATGGAATACTTTGATAGTCAATGTTTGATGTTTCGTTCTGTCGATGAAAGTGCATTGTGAAAAGTTTCGAAAAGGAGAATGAAGAAGAGCGGAAACTGCGAACGAGCATATCAGATAGAACAGCTTCTTCAAACTCGAAAGTTTCGACAGCGTTACAAATATTTGTTCGATCGACTACGATGAAACGTTCGATTATTCGAACTGGATGATCTGCACTGTAATTTGATAAATGGTCGACGACGTATCGAACCCGCTATATTTGGCTAAAATGTTTTCATAGTTCAAATACGAGGATTTCTGTATTCCCAAGTGTAATCGATCCGAAGTTCGAATAACCTGCGTTCTATCGTTGCTTCAAATCCCAATGAGAATACTTGTATCTATCCATACTTATTTTTATTGGTGGATATTCGAAATTCTGCGCTTCAGATTTTCAAGTACTGAAACTTTGAATTTTATTCGAGCTTGAAAAATCTTGAAAATGAAACCAATGGAACGTGTTAAACTAGGTTCGAATAAAATTTCAAGTAATTCGAGATATTCTACAGCCCGTCGCTATTAATCCTACTTCCTGAAAATCCTCCAGTAAATTCCAGGAGCATCCTGAAGCATCCCTGTAATGAACGGGTTCCTCTGATCTAGGTGATCCCTAAACCGCATCACTGCGAAGCCTGTTGAAAATCGAGGCACTCGTGTCTGAAACGCACCGATCCTCGAGTGCTCGCAGTTTCGAGCTCGCCGAGCGTACTTTCACTCGGTGCCCGTTGATCGGTCGAAGAAGCGGGCGAAGCGGAAGGCAGAAGAGGCGCAAAGTGAAACGCTGACACTCCCCGTCCCTCTGTTCCTCTTACCACGAGTTGATTGACCTCGAGCAAAGGCAGCAGGAGGTGGCCAGGTCGATCGCGTCAGGAGAAACAGAAGGAGCGGGACAACGTCGAGGACGACGAGCGCGACGAGGAGTGGCCGAGAAGAAGAAGAGCAAATTGGTGCTCCCGGTAGCAGGGGCCCATGAATAGCGTGGAGGAGAAGTTGCGTAGCGTGACGAAGCGCGGGAGCAAACGCGGCCCGCGTGGAACCGGGCCAGCTGCATCTGATTGGTCGACAGGGGCCCGTTCCTCTAGTGGGGCTAGGGTACCTGCCCCGACTGCCCCTTCTACGGCTCAAGCGAGCAGCTCCGCTTTCAACAGGCCCCAGGAGTCGATGGGACCTACCAGGCGGCAGTCCTCGCGGGACAGCATCGACTCGACGGGCCAACAGGCCCCACCCGAACACGGCGAGCTCCTTTTCAAGGTCCTGCCCTCTCTCCTGATACACGACTTTCCACTCGATACGAGGAATCATTAAGGCCCAATCGATACTATCGATTCTCTCGCGGTTTGATTAAACGCGTCGGAATTGATAATTAAAGAACCATTTGATTTCATAAACGAATCATGATCGTTCCGTTTCCAAACGCACGTTTCCAAGGATTAATCAGTAAATGTTGAAACGAATTTAATAGCTTGAATTGTTTTAAGGCCAGTTACAGGTGAATGAACAATCTAATAGAAACGCCACGTTTTATCTACACAGAATTACCAACTTCAACGACTTCATTTACCAGCGAATTAACTTCTCAATTCGAGGAAATGTAAGGAAGAACATTAATTTCACCATAGAGTCGATATCCAGCATGGAATTTCAACTTGTATAAGTAATGGAAATCACTGATCTTGCACTTCTAATTGCTTTTTTACTTATGAGATAAAGCATTCTATTTATAGATATTTCAATAAGGTAATTTGTAGTCTATGGAAAGTGATTATTTACAGTCGTCGATCACGAATAGGCGTTTCTCTAGATGTCGTATATCAAACATACTTGAAATTACGGTATCGCTAAAACCTTGCTTAATTACACGTTCATTCCTTGGCTATCGAGTCTATGATAATTATGTCAATACGTTTGGACACGGACTAGTTGCGTGATACGTTTCGATCTGGACTCAACTGGTTCTTATTGAACAAACTAGAAAAAGTCACGGGTATTAACAGCTACTTTTAACATTATTTTTCTTATTGCAAATAGATGGGATGATAGAGTCGAGTTTAAACTAGAGAAATTTTCATTTGAAAAAAGAGATGCTACGTTTAGCACCAAATAAATAAATTTTCCCGCGTTTTCTAAGATATTTTCACAGAGAATTTTCACGCAACATAGGTGATGCTACTTGGCGACAGTGGCGTCGGAAAAACCTGTCTTCTAACGCGATTCAGAGACGGTCGCTTCCTGTCCGGCAACTACATAACCACCGTTGGCATTGATTTTAGGGTGAGACATTCAAACTCCCCTTACCTCATACCAGATATTAAAAAGAACTTCATACATTAATAACAAAAAATGCATTGCTCGCGTACGAAATGAAAAAAGAGAATTAGAACTTAGAAATTGTTTTCCTATTCTTTCAGAATAAAGTGGTCGTAGTCGACGATACGTCTATCAAGCTTCAAATATGGGACACGGCCGGCCAAGAGAGATTTCGTAGTGTAACACACGCTTATTACAGAGATGCTCATGGTAATTATTATTTCCTTAATTAACGACTTAAGAAAGAGGAGAATCTACATTAACACTTCCGTGATGTGTGAACATTTTTATTTTTATTAAAAATCTTCAATTATATCGGCACTGTTTATCATTTCAATTGCTCAATTACACGACGAGATAGGCGTGCGAGCAATTTCTCCGGGTGAACGTAAAAACAAGGAACAAATGGTATTCTATGAACGCGTAACAACACGAACAACATGACGTAGGATCTTTTGTTTCCTCGTATACCAATTACCAGGATCACGGACGATTGCACAACGAAACAAAACGATCATTATTGCTTCCAGCTCTTCTATTGCTTTACGACGTGACGAACAAGACGAGCTACGACAACATCAGGGCTTGGCTTAGCGAAATACGAGAACACGCGAACGAAGACGTGGTCATCATGCTGTTGGGTGAGTTCATGATCGTTTGCATCCGCGGATAATCACTGGACGTGACCAATCTAGATGAAACTTGGACCAAAGAAAAACGAAGGAAAACCTCTTTCCAGAGGATTTCTTTGTCGTTTGAATTCTGAGAAAGTTACCGGTGAACGATGTACACACCGGTAACTGGTTCTTGCAGTTTCGATTGGGTTTCTTGCTTTCGTAGAAAGTCGAAGAGAACGTTCTAGGAAGAGCTAAGTGTCTTGACTCGTTAACGAACGACCGCTAAATTGGTATCTACTGTCGGTTACGTTTTTATTCTTATCGAAATTTTGTGGAAATTAGTGTACATAATTTATCTGATTATCTATGTATCTGATTTTACTAGATCATCGTGCTTTGGAAAAGATCTTCCTCTAGAAACACAAAGTGAAGTGGTCACTTGCCTAGAACATAATAAACTGAAATGAACGTTTTTAGGTAATAAATCCGACTGCGGAACGGAACGAGTCGTGAAGAGGGAAGACGGTGAGCGGTTGGCGCAAGAGTACAAAGTCCCCTTTATGGAAACTTCTGCTAAAACCGGCCTGAACGTTGAATTGGCCTTCTTGGCTGTCGCCAGGTAAGACTGAGATCTTTCAGCAACAGCTATCAACTTTTCAATGAGCCATTGTTGAGAAAACGAGATCTCTATGTTACAATGTTTAACTGATCAGTCTCAATGGCTTGCCTAATGAGAGTCTAAACTTTGTACCTAAAATGTTGAACATCTTTTGCTATAAAAGGAACGAATATGAGTGTTATATTGAATAATTTTAGAGAGCTGAAGGCTAGGAAGAGTAGCGATCCCGACGATACGAAATTCAACGTCCAGGACTACGTTCGTCAACAATCTCAACGAAATTCTTGCTTCAACTCCAATTGCCTGACGACCTGAATTGCGAAATAATTCCATGCGCATGCTTCTCTACGATAGATAGGGAGAATGGTGGAACACGAACCGGAACTCGTTGGCCGTGAAAAAAGGCGCCAAATCATAGGCGTTCGAAAGTTCGTATTTGTCCCGGAAACATTGACCAAAAGTTCAATTTTTCCAACAAGCACAATTGTTTTACAAAAATTTCTATCTAAACGACAAGTTATTTAGACAATAGAAGCAGAATTGATTTGAAATTTTCATTAGAAAAGTTTGTTCCACCGGAAACGTACAATTACCCTTTTTCGAAGCACAAATAAACCCGCGGGAAGGGGATCAATATTTTTGAAAGGAACCGATATGAAACTGTTGTTAATGATACGTGTATAGAAATATAGAAATATTTATCGATGGTTAATTCTGTACTGTACATTAATGTGAATAGCATGATGCAGGGGAGGCTACCCTCAATATGATATAGAGTTTAGGAAATATCTCAATGGTTCTAACTTGTGCATTGTACACCTTGTTACACTGTTAGAAAAAAAGAAAATATATCACGCGAAAGCTCATCGTGTACCAAGTAGATCGATGGTTTTAGAACAAATCATCGCGTAGAAGAGCTTTCCAACAATATTCCATAGCTGCCATATACATATACGTATACACAGACACGTTGCAGAGTACACTCAATAATTTTTGGTTAAAAATTGTTTTCTCGTAGTTTTTGAATCACAGCTAACAATAAGTGTACTCAGAATCGTATAAATTATAATCGTAATAATCGTTACTTCATTTCGTTTCAAACAAAATTCGTATGAACGTAATCGTGTAATGGCTGCCATGGTCACGTGACCATACCTCGTTTTCTATGCAGCGGTCCCACGCAATGCAATACTTTCGAATGATTTGATTCGCATTTCAAAGTCCCCAATTTTGCATATTGTATTACTTTTATAAAGTTACGATGACAACTTGCTGCGAATTTTCAAAATTGAGGAACATTGATCGTTTAATTTCGTAACAATTTCAAAATTGCAACCGGCAACGATTTGTGACAACAATAAAGAAGCCGGAACGGAATGTAACCGTACAGGTTATCAGTTGTATATGTACAATTTATCTTATTTAAACATGTACAAACGATAAAACAATTATATGTCAAGTGTATAGCAAAAGATATACATAGAAAATAAACAATCACACGACCAAGCATAATTATTTGCATTTTTTTGACTTACCACCATTGCTCCTGTTCCTTGTTTAACCATTGTTACAAGGCCCAAAAAAGTTTTTGAAGAAAACAGCATCATCCGCTCTCTGTCTTCGCTTAAACGTTCTCTTGCATGTAACTGAAGACTAATTCCGCACAACTGACATTCGTAGATCACAAAAATACTCTTTTAATAAATAAATATCTTGCAAAAGAGCGGAGCGTCCTGGAGTCCAACCCGCGCGCCGCTTCTCCCTTGGACGAGTGGAACGCGTTGAAATGGACCGCTCGGTTCCAGTTTCAAATGTCGACGTACAAACAAAACGCTGCGTCCCTAACCTGCATTTAAAAAGCGCGTTTCGCTGGCAGGCAGAACATCGCAGGGAAAAATCAGAAACATTTAGGTCCACGATGGACGAAGTGGACGAGTTGCAGAATATGGAAAACGTGTGCAGGCTCTGCCTTTCTACCGACGAACCAAAGTTATCGGTATTCGGAGAGCAAGAGTCCCCGGTATCGTTAGCCAATAAAATACAGGCATGCCTATCAATTCAGGTGGGTATATCGCATTGCTGTGAACATCTACTGGCTTCCGAATATTTTCTACTTTCATTATACTTCTACGCGTATCGAATTGATTTGCTTATGCGTAATACTACTGTTTGAAGGTTAGGTCTACATTGAATTCTTCAAAACTTTCATTTATATTAAAGCTTCCAAGTATGTGTGCATGTGATGGATACATATATGCTTTTAGATTTTAGCCACCGACAAACTATCAACCCAGATATGTGCAGAATGTGTCAAAACTGTGAATCAATGGCATAATTACAAGGAAGTATGTCTTCGTTCTCAAGACAAACTACATTTATGGCTAGAAAAACATGTACAAACACCCCCAGTGGTAACTATGCATGATTCTGTTAATTTGTAAATCTGAGACATTTTCCATGATTGTAATTAACACATCATTTTTGTTTACAAAGATTGCAAGTATCAAGAGCGAACCAGTGGACCTAGACTTTTATGATGACATTGTTGAAGTGATTTCAGAATCCACCAATGATTCAGATTTGGTAAATATTATACATTTGAAATTATAGCATAGAAGGTAAGGATGAGGTGAGAGTATATTACATTTTGTCCATAGGAGCCAATTAATCTTGAGGAAAGTACAGATAGTTTGGTGAATAATGTTCCAGTTCAAGAGCTAACTGATAATGAAATAGAAACAGAGAGGGATCAACCAGCATTGGCAAAGGATATGGACATATGTATTATAAAATCAGAGCCACAAGATGACTATGATACAGATTGTACTATAGAGATAGAATCAGTTACAGGTAGTGAACTACCAAATCAGCTTACAGATAAAGATGATATAGTTATGGAAGCCGATTCTACGCAAAAGTTTAACGCATCCGCAACAGTAAATAAAAAGAGAACCAAACGGGGTCCGCACACTCATTTCAGAGGAACACGAGTTTTTAAACAAAAGTGTGTACATTGTCAAATCATTTTGCACTCTAAGCAATCTTATTCGAAGCACATGGAAAGATTCCATACCGATAAACAAAATGGTAGTACCGAGGTAGCCGAGTTACAAGATGGGGAAGAATTGGTCGAGGATTTAGAGGATGAGTTGATGAGCATGGAGAAGGATGCTCCCTTGACTCAAGTACAACAGAATATTATCAGCCAATTAAAAACGTACTTGTGTTACACTTGTCAGCAAACCTTTACCGATTGGAGGAGCACTCTCACTCATATCCGTGAACATATGCCCGATTTAAGGCCATGCACATGCATCGCATGTATGACGGAATTTCCGGATGGATCGATGTTCAAATTACACTGTGAAGTATCATTTGAGTGTGCAATGAAAATCGCATTAGTCATACCAAAACACGGCGAAGAGAAGTATTTCACGTGTAACATGTGTTTACGCGCTATGCGAAATAGAAAGGAACTACTCAGTCATCTCTCGAAACACTCCGATAAACAGTACGAGGAACTGGTGTCGCCTTCACGATCTCCCCCTAAATTGAAACCAATGACCCCGCTACCATCTCCTAAACAGAAGCAAGTAAACAAAGTGCATGAAGCTAAATTAGAGATACCCAAACCCTACAAAAACGGCGATGCCGCATATAATCACGTTTGCGATTTATGCGGAATGATTTATAAGTTCAGACCTAACATGTTGAAGCACAAAAATCTATGCCAGCATTTGCCACCGGAGAATAGAACATCCTACAGATGCGTCCACTGTGGAATGACGTTCCTTGTGTTTAAAAAGTATCACAGCCATATTACGTTCGATCACAAAAAGAAGGATTTCACTTGTTCCATTTGCAACGCCAAATTCAGGTCTCCAAGCGATTACTTGACACATCACGAATCGCATCGCTCGACTCGCAATAAGAAGTCATCACATGAAAGTAGTGAATCATCCTCCATGCCAAACATATCGACGCCTATCAAAGACTGGGACACCTTTGAGGCTGAAATGAACGCGAGCAAGATAACCAACAGTAATCAGTACAGCTGTGCTCTTTGCAACCTGGAGTTCGCTACCAGAGCCGAACTGACCGAGCACAGAAACCTTCACTTGAAGGTGAAGATCTATTCCTGCGTTATTTGCCGTAGCATGTTTAGCAGCGCTGGTGCTTTGGAGATCCATATGAAGGATCACGGTATAGAGGATCCAAACGAGAGGGACGCAAACATCTCATGTGTAGAGTACGGAACGACGAAACCTGAGCTGGAAAAGTCAAAATCAGTAAATATCAGCGCAACTTCAGATCCTGGCACGGCCAAGAATAAGTGTAACACGTGCAGTAAAGTATTCTCCAACTACGCGAATGTCAGACGACATATAAGGAACATACACAAATCGGGCAAGGCGCATATCAGATGTACCGAATGTCCTCAGATGTTCAGGAGCACCTTTACATGCCATCGTCATGTAATGCAGGAACACAAGTCCTCGAAGACTGCGTTCCAGTGTCCCCAGTGTCCAAAGACCTTCGTCTTCAAAGCGAACATGAACCAACATTATCGAACTGTGCATGGCTCTGAAACGCCTGGTAGTTACGCTTGTGACATCTGTGGCAAGACATTCTTGGAAGAAGCATCTCTGAAGATACACAGGGGTTGGCATAACCGAACCAATTTTCGGTTAACCGCTGATCTCGCAAATGAAAAAGATCAGAAGAAGCAAATACTCAGAAATATGACCTCGCTGAAACAAGAGGAGCAGTCGTTGACCGGGACCTCGAGCAGGCCAGCTAGAGCAAAAAAATCCTTCCCAAGCCCGCCATCGTTGAAGAGCAGCGCTGACTATCAATGCCAGGTTTGTAACGACAAGTTCAATGATGTGGTGGAACTGAGGGAACACTTATGGGATGTTCATTGTGCTCGTAACAAGTCTGAGAAGAATTTCACCGACAACAAGTTCCAATGCGATCTCTGTACGTACATTCTACCTGACCAGGAATCATTCAACATGCACATGCAGTGGCACAAAGTTCATCCCATCCTAAGCAACATCGGTAAACCTTCCTTCCCTTGCGAAATCTGTGGGAAAAACTACAGTTCCAAGAAGGTATTGTGGAGACACAAGAAGCTTCACAAAGCCACCACCGTGGCTACTGCTAAGTTCCAATCGATCACCAGGAAACCCACCCTGTCGAGCCAGTACACGTGTAATATCTGTCGCAAGGCATTCAGCAGCAACCAGTCGCTACAGCGTCATAAACTGAACTTACATGCCAACATATTCAATGAACGAGCACAGATGATGTTTAACAACACGGCAAAAATTCCTCAAGAGGAACCGAAATCAAAGAGAGTGAAATTAGAAGTAGATGATCCGACGCAGAAAGTATCAGAAGCCATGGACGCTTTACGCGCTGGCAAGAAGGCCGTAATGTGCCACGTCTGTAGAAAGTTCTTCCCCAACATGAGTATACTGTACAAGCACAAACAATATGCCCATAACAAGTCTCGCGTGGTGAAGAACATCGTGAAGCCCTCAACTGTCGAGTGCATCCCGTTGGCCGCACCCGAGGGCCGGGTATGCTGCAACATTTGCTTCAAGGAGTTCTCCGGTGTGTCAAATATGCGGCAGCACTTTACCGTGAAACACAAGAATACCACCCTCAAGTACGCCTGCCCAGTCGAGGGTTGTAAGTTAATGTTTCTAACTCCGGTCGCCCTGAAGAATCACGAGCTATCACACACCTCGATGATCTACAGTTGTAACCTCTGTGGCAAACACGTGTTTAGCAGATCAGCAATGTCCACTCACATGCTGACCGTGCATAAGACAGTCTACTATGCCGAAGAGAACAAAAATTTCCACAGAGAGACAGACTTGCACACCTATGTGGTGGAAGGTGCAGTGGATGCAACTTGTCCTCACTGCAAGATCAAGTATCCCAACAACAGAGCCATGAAGATTCATTACTTCAAGTTCCACGATGACACGAATCGTTAGGTCCGTGAGCATTTTGTACGATCGATGAACGATTCAGCAGAAAAGTTTTTTTGAGGGGCGGGGGGTTTCAACAAAGCGTGACTGGTGGTCCTATCAGCACAGGAAGATTCTCCGAACTGGATAAACGCTGTCTCGTACTCTTTTTTTTCTATCAATCTTAAGTTTCTGTGTTCGGTCATGGACAATGATGTTCGTACAGACTTCGAGATGCATCTCGCCTTTCCTATTCATTGTTTCACTGGTGATGTTTGAATACACTTCGGCATATCCTACTTCTCTGTAGCCGCTGATCAAGAGCTAAGTCTGTCTCTTGTTCGATGCTGGCAGCACTTTACCAGATCCACCATTGTACTTGTAAATAACACCCTATTGCTGTAGAGTAATGAAGGTATATAAGAGAGTCTATATATTTGTTTGATGTTTCTACGAGAGTCACTACATTTTTTAAACAGAATTTTTTATTTTGTTCATCACGTGGTCGATGATACTCCTCCGGCATCTGCCGATGTATTCAGAAGACCATGAATATTAATCTCAACTTCTGTTAACGTGACTTGAACCGATTGCCTAAGTATCGTGATGTTCAGTTTTGAGTCAACATATCATGGTGGAACTATGATTACAGGAAGCCGGATGTAAGGTTGATTCAGTGTTAGATCTAAAGTACTGCTTCATCAGAGTACAATATTGATCATCGGTTCAAAGTACGTTAATTTGAATGATGGATTTAAATGAAAATGATGTGTCGAAGATGCGAATCATGTTCATTTTTCGTTTTATTTTTCGTTTGTTTGTTATTAAGCAATAGCGTATCATATTGTTTCTACTACCGAGCGCATTTAGTATACGAGAGAAACTGGGAACTATGCATTTTTTAAAGGATTGCTATATTGTGCCAGCAACTGGTTGTTCTAAACAGATTGGTGATGGTGTGGATAAGATTGGAGAGTTGGCATATTTCTGGACACTGGAATGGAGAACTCTGTTTTAGATTTTATTATTAAACGCATATTTGTATATGCAATGTATAAGCTGTAGCGTTTTTGCATATAGTGAACAAATAAAGGGAGAACAAATAAATGTGGATCCCTGATTTTCCAAGTATCACTTGACAATTATCTTTGTTCGCGTGATTCCATAAGGTCATAGCTCTATGAGCCAGAAATAAGTGTCCGTCTTTTACATTTCTTGAACCCTTTGAAATAATCAGGGTATCGCATTCTTGGGATCATTCACAAGGTTGCGTCTGCGAAGACGTTTCCTGTGCTTACCATCAGAGGGCTTGCTAACCAGTTCCTCATGAGTTTCTAACCTCTGTATTCCCTGATAGATTCTCATCTCTTCTTGGGCTATTCAAACATGAAACTCTTCTTCAATAGGATTTTATAGAAACAATCATATTGATTGTTTATTCCCGTCTACATATCAGGATTTTGATGTTTGACTCTGCAGATAGAGTCACTACGTCGTGGTGTCTTGGATGACAGCCATGTTGGACACTTGATTGTCAGAGAAGGAATCTGACCAAATAGGTCATGCTTGAATGAGTAGGTTGAGGTTATACGACAGGTAGAGGATTCTGGCTCTGAAACTTGATCGATCGGTTCCTTTTATTTTCCTTAGTAACCATCAACTGGGAGAAGTGATTCTGAACAGGACTGATCCTAGCGCCCAATGTTCCTTTGTGTCTAAGACGTATATTTATCTGATAATCTTAAGCAAATGATTTTCTAGTAGGTTCAGAAGATCCAGAAGACCTAGAAGGAGCTTCCACTATATTTTATTAACCATTCTGCCAACCGTGATCAGAGTATTAGCAATAACTGACTGTTTTAGTTAGACGAAGTCTGATCTCTTGATGGAACGTATTTAGATGTAGCTTTTCAGTTGATAATTGTCGAATATTGGTTTATCGTTTAGTGTTTATTTAGGAGATGTGTTTTTTTCCGAGAAATGGACGTGTTAAGTTGAAACATCATGTGCCGAATCATTCCGTCTATTGTTAAAAGTTTCTTATAACAGATGTCCGAAATGATAATTATGCTCACAGTTATACATAACGGGAGAACCATTTTGTACAGTATCTTTTTACGTAAGATTCCAATGAAAGACTGATAACAGGAATGTTTGATACACGGAATATTATTAAGCGACGAGAAATTATTCAATAATGACGAATCGCATCGAGAACTATTTATTATGTAGCTATTTTTGTTAATTTACTAGCTTGAAGAATTGTATTATCATTATGTATGTATACACATACATGTCATGTTTCAGATTATTTTTCAAAGCTATCAATATATATTGTATATATTATACCCATATATGTAATCACTATTGTAAATTTATTCACTCTTTCATCTTTTCGAAACAACATTCGTAAAGAGTACAATATCTATCATTGTGTATATGAATAAGTATATATCGTAATAAAAAAAGGTATAGGTAACTGTTAACACCTTATCCATCGTTTATGAATAAAATGATTAAGTATTGTTAACTTCATAATTTAACAATAGTTAAAAATTGCAAGGAGCTATTAATTACTTACTATTTACTTCTTAGTCAATAATCACTGACTTTCGGTTGGTAAGGTGTTAAAAATTACGGTATCAACGGTGTAAGTAACAGAAGAATTTTCCTTCCACAAAAATTGTAATGACTACGATTGTATTTAAGAATTAAAGCTTCTTTTCACATTGTTATCATGCAAGTGTTTATTACTGTATGTAATGAACATATGTTTAACTACCGTATTAGAGTATAAAAATTATTTATTATTTCGAAATTGTTGTAAGTAATGTTGGTGCTACCGTGACTAATTACTCAGCACTAACTAGTTATTGTGTATAAAGATGTCTATAGTCATTTGGTATTAATTGCATGTTCTATATGAACCAATAATGATACAAACGTAGATGTGCACATGTTATTCAATTTAAATTTGCGCGCGCTTTGAAAACCGGCGGTACCTTTCGAACAATCGACATGGCGGAAAGTAACAGAAAACTAAATGCTTCTTTAGACAAATATAATTGTATATATGATGGCTTCGAGTAGCATTTACGAATTTTTATCACTACACGTCTAAGACTAGAATTTGTTAGATAAGATTTTATTAACGAGTCCATCGGAAGGACCTTGGGACAGATCCCATGTTTCTTAAAGAGACCATCACGAATCAGTTGTAATATTGAAGTGCTGAATTCTATAGTCAAGAACTAAACTGTCGATATTCTATCAATATAATTTGATTTATAACTTACCAGCACAGTTGAGGCTCATATGTTGTAGATGTTCGGCGATTTTTAATGACAATGTAGCATCTCATTGTCAGACGACGAAGTCAGCACTGCTTTCAGAAGAATTAGAGATGATAGCATGCCAATGGCAATAGTGGGTGCTCCGTCTCTTCTTTAGTACACTTAACGTGTTAATTTTGTTTTAATATTGTTATTGGAAATATATTATTATTGTAAAAAAATCTTACCAGTTCGAGCGGGTCGAAAGCGTGCTTGAAAAGAGTGTAAGGGGAACTTTCGTTTAATTCCCGTGGTTGCCGCTAGGGCGTTATGGCGTGCTAATATCCGGTTGCTGCAATTTATGAAATTATTAATTTTAACGCTTTAAACAAATTATGATTTGAATATTTGAGATGCATTTTGATTATAAGATATTATATTTTATTCAAAAAAACGCAAAAGTAGCTTACTTTATAAAAAAAGACGATTTTCTATTGCGACTGTTCTGGAATCGTCGTTAGATGGCGCGAATGGTATTATTTTCAAAGCGCGGAGTTATATAAAACTAAAAGCGTCAAAATAATATTAACACAATATACATATCCATATATTAAAATTTTTCCGGTTCGAATGGGTAATACCACTACTAAAAACATTTATCGTCAAAATCCAAAGTATACTAGTCAGGTACATATTGTTTAAAATTATTTTAACCTCTAGAGTTTAAACTTAAACAATGCTAATATTGTTGACATAAGTAAACAAGAATTTACTGTATTTCTCAGTAATACTGCTTCATAAATATTCTTTCAATTTTTGTTGTACAGTATAGCCTTAGTGATATAATTGTTGGAAGTTGCATTGGGACTTCTGACTCTTCGAATAAGGAATCTAAGTCATGGTCTCGTGGTTCTTACAGAAGGTGATTTCATTTTTTTATATTCATTTTACATGTTTGATCAAGCTTGTATTATAATTATATAATTTACAGCTGGAGCGAAGGTACATTGTATGATCCATTATGTACATCAAAAACATTATGGCCTGTTTCACGTTCCCAAACTATGTTCCTACCAGAATTTCCAATAAGACAAGTCAATTTACAAGTTGCTTTTACATTTATAAGTGTCATAGCAAGAGGAGCTTATGGAAAAGTTTATAAAATTCAGAAGAATGATAGTGGACAATATTTTGCACTGAAAGTAATAAGCAAAGCCAAAGTGGTTGCAGAGAATGGTATAATGCAAGCTAAACAGGAAGTGTGTATAACATAAATAAATGCTTATTGAATTTGTAGAATGGTATAACTTAAATTAATCTGTTTTGTTAGGTATCTATACAAAAGCTTGTTGGTCATCACCCATTTATATTAAACTGTTCTCATAGATGGCAAGGAAGAAAGACATTATATATATGTAAGTTCCCCATTGTATTATCATTAATTACTTTAGTTATATTTTATAACTTTTCTCAATTTCAGTAACTGATTATATCAATGGAGGAGAGCTGTTTTCATTAATTGAACAGCATGGCTCTCTGCCTGAAAATGTAGTTAGAATATATGTAGCAGAAATTGCTTTAGCTATTGGTGAGTATGTTCTTTTCGGAGTCGGTATTTGAATATAAAATTGAATTTATAGCTATTTTTCTCGTTTTGTTAAAGATTTTTTACACAATGCTGGCATAGTACATAGAGATATAAAAGCAACAAATGTTCTATTAGATGATGAGGGTCATGCTGTAATTATTGATTTTGGCCTTGCAAAGTGGGTAAATCATACAGAAAGGACAAATACCCTTTGTGGAACACCAGAATATATGGGTAAGTATTGAAACACTATTAAATACTTTGAAACAAATTTCAACTAATATACGTTTACATATCTGATTACAGCACCAGAAATATTTAAACTACAGTATTATGGACAGGAAGTCGATTGGTGGTCACTTGGAGTCTTAACTTGCTTCATGCTTACAAATCAGGTATGTGAGTACTTGTTATATTAATATAGTTTTAAATAGTAAATCATGATTGGAGTTGCTTAATTAATAAAAAGTGTGAATACTATACAATATTTTGGTTTAAATATAATTATTGAATATCAATAATTGTTGTGTATATATATTCAAAAATATTTACGTTCTATTGTCAAAATGTAATAGAAGAAAGATCCAACCAGCTGACTCCGTGGCGCAACGGTAGCGCGTCTGACTCCAGATCAGAAGGTTGCGTGTTCAAATCACGTCGGGGTCAAAAGGAATTTTTTTGTTTAAAAATTCTTTTTTTCTAATTTATTGTTTACATTTATGATATAAAATCAATTCCATATATAATTTAATAGTTAAACAAATGTACGTTTTTAGTTTTCTTGATTTTTCAAGCAAATATGAAATCGACAGAAATCCTTGCTCTATTGCCTTCTTAAAATCGTATAGATTCTATACTATAGAATATAGATTCATTTCAAATATACACAATTTTATAAACGCAGCTCAAAAATCATTTGTAGTAACCCATCATTCATTTACCATTTCCTACTACTAACTACATTTGATTTTGTTCATTATAGAAGTAGCATTATAAATAAACAATGTTATATAATAAATATCATAAATTCTATTGCGTTCTATCGCAAAAGAGAAAAAGTTAATCGCCCCCGGGTGGGCTCGAACCACCAACCTTTCGGTTAACAGCCGAACGCGCTAGCCCATTGCGCCACGGAGGCGGTTGACTGTCGCTTCCCTTTCAGTTGTTTTGGCTTGGGTTTTTATTTTTTGCCCAACAAATATGTTTTTCTTATCATTTTTCATATGTATTATCTCTGATATTATTCCACATTTAAAATATGAATATGATTAAAAGTAAAAATTAATTTATCAGTCGATTTAGGCTTTCTTTCAGTATTTTGCAATTTTCAAATTATTTATTATATAGACAGATAATTATTTATCACAGAGATAGTGATTGAAACGATATCGTATCAAGTAGCGCCCAACAGAATCGATATTTCATAAACTATCAAATGATTATTTGATTTGACATAGCGCAGTATTGCTATAAGAAGTATCAATATCGAAAAATTGATACCAAGATATCTAAATTGGTTGTTTGAATACCATCCACGCGTATTATTGTTGAGCCGAACAATGATTACACGTGAACTGAATTTTGCGTAACTGCGAATTATCTAATTATCGAGTAAGCCAAATTCGCAACGTGCTTTATTAATTACTCTCCTTCAGATTGCAACATCGTTGGTAAATCCCGAGATAAGCGTTTCAGCGCGAAACACGATTATTCAGCCGCGATATCTCGCCGCTTTTCGTTGACCGATCTTGCGCAAAAGTATGCGACAGGGACTCGAATCGCGTTTGTTGCAAAATCCCACGTGCCTTGACATTTTCGCGAGCCGGGGTCCACTCACCTCGCGTATCCTCACTGTTTACGGAGCGTACCTGAGAGTACGCTAACTTTTCATTCGGCATTTGATGAATCGTTGCTCACGCTAGCCCATCACTGGAGAAATGTCGTGGTAGGTACTTACCTCGAGATTGTTCGCAAGGCGTGACGACCAATCACGCGAATCTGCGAGTCTTGTGCAAGTGCATTCAACAGGAATATTCATCGTCCCTCACGTTCTGGGATCGGGAGAACCTTCGAGTATCTTTCTTCAAAGACATATCGTAATTTCGTTCTTTTATTCTCGAGATGGTAGTATGATGTTATTGGAGAAAATACGATACAGCAACAGGAGTTGAGATGTTGAATTTATGTAGATTCGTGTAGAGTTTGAAATCATGATTTCGATTCCTTTAACCTTTCCATTATTATTGACGCCTGTAGGTGCTCAAGAAATTTGCTGTCTTAAATAAAATTCTCTAAATTTTGCTCCAAAGTATCGTCGCCTTAGAGTTTTCGAGAAATTCTCAATTTCAATTTTCTAAGTGCAACTTCCACCTATTCCCTTAACAATGAATAAATTATTGTATTATTTACCAAATAACGTTTGTTATTTCTCATCATCTAATTATTACTCAAATGTGTGATCAGGAGAAAACGTTGACAGCAACACTAGTACTCACAGTAATAATAATAATTATTATTATAACGATGATAGCAATAATACAAATAATAATATTAATAATAATAGCGGTACTGGTACTAAATCGTAATAATAATAATAATATTAATAATAATAATGACACGTATCTCTAAAAAAAAAGAAGACAGAGTCGAGCTACACACTAGTTTATTGGGATGAGGTTGTGGTTGTGGTTCATGTGTGGTTTTTGAGACAAAAATAAAAAGGAAGGAGAGAAAAAAAAAGATGAAAAAAAAAAAACACTTGGGAATTTGGGACGAGGACACTAAATATTAGAGGGGGGCCAATTTCGTCCCCGCGGACAGATCGCAATGTCCACCGGGACGAATAAGGATTGATGATACCTGGCGTGCGCCAAGTGTCAGATCCTAAAGGGTGGCCACGTGTTCCTGATCGAGTAAGTTCCAAAGACTCGTGTCTCGAACGTGATGATCATCGTCGTCGTTGTCTTCCTCAGGATCTTGATTCGACGTCTTTTCTATAAGTCTATCCCTTCACAGCCAGGTTTCACGTGGTCATCCTGCCCCGATAGTCGATAAATTTTCTCGGAATCGTAGCGCGCCGGGGAAGTTGGACCCTGCCAGAAAATTCATCGTCCAATCTTTCTCTCTCTCTTTCTCTCTCTCTCTCTCTCTATCATCCATTCGCACCGATAATACACTTTCACACCGTCTCGTTCTCTCTGTCAATCTCTTTCTCTCGTTTCTCGTTCGTACTTCTCCTGACGTACACGCTCTATCCCGTTTCGCTTCTATCCGGGGAAGAACTCGCGCGATTACATATGATGTCGGTCGGATGTTGAACGCAGTGTCTCGACTTAGCGAGCAATTACGATGTTGCTGCTTCTAGGGGCTACCGTTGTTCGTCTTCCCACTCGCTGCTGGGACCGTTATTCCTTGTGGAATAACTCCTGCGGCTTGGGCAACAGTTCCGGTTTGGACTCGTCAGCGGCTGGCTTGGACTCCTTTGACTCCTCGGAGGATTTCTCTTCCTCGCTGCTCTTGTTGTCCTTCTTCTCGGCTGACTTGTCTTCCGACGATTCGTCAGAACGTTCCTTCACCTCCTTTTCGCCATCTTGTTTCTTCTGCGGCTCTTCCTTCTTCTCCTCGGCTTGTTCAGCCTTTGCCTGAGGTTGAGCCTCCGCTGCGGTGTCGCGTTTTGCTTGGCTAGACTCGTCAGGTTTGGCCTGTGACTCGGTGGATTCTTGAGACGACGAAGCTTCCGAGCTCTTGGCTTCTTTTTCAGGATTCTGAGCCTCGGATTCGGTCTTCTCCTCGCTCTTGACCGACTCCTCGGAGCTAACTGCCGGTTGTTCTATAGCGGGTTCGGTCTTCTCGCTCTGGACAGCTGGTTTGTTCTCCTCGGGTGTTTTAGCCTGTTCCGCTTGGGTCTTCTCAGCTTCCGCCGGAGCTGGGGATTGTTGTTCAGCTGGTTGAGCCGATTTCTTGGCTTCTGGGGCGGATTCTTCAGCGTCACGGGTTACACGGTCGGGTTTCTCTTCAGCCTTCTTCTCTTTCTCTTGTTCTTCCTGAGGTTTGTCGAGTTTCTTGTCTTCGGTGGCGGGTTGCGACGATTCCTTCGACTCCTCGGAGACGGTAGAGCTCGATTCGTCTTCCTTTCTTACGCTTGGTTTCGCTTCTTCAGGTTTCTTCTCTTCCTTGGATTCCTCTTTGCTGGCTTCAGAGGTCTTCTCCGCGGATTCGCTTTGTTGTTCAGCACTCTTGCCTTCCACGACCGCAACCTTCTGCAATAGAAATATTTCATAGAAACTAGGCTCAGGGCAACAACAGAAACGTTTTCATTATGATACTTACAGCTTGTTCGGCTGGTACTTCAACGGCCTCTTGTTTATGTTCCTGAGGCGCAGCCTGTACAGCTTCGTGCGCTTCGGAGGCAGCCTGTTTCAGGGTCTCCTCTTCTTTCTTGCCTTCCTGAGCTTGTTCAGGCTTTTGTTCCTGAGCAGGTGCCTGTTGAGCCTCCTGCGGCAAGGGTTGCTCGGACTTCTTCTCTGCTACGGCCTCTTCGTTCTTGTCCTCAGGTTTCGCTTGTTGAGCCTCCTCTTTCTTTTCCTCCGCCTTCTCGGTTAGCTGATCATACTCAGCTGCAGGCTCGCTCCTCGCGCTTGGTTTCTCAGGTTGCACTTGTTCAGATTGAACCGGAACCGCCGGCACTGCTGGAACAGCAGCTTCCTGAGCTTGTGCCGCTACGACAGCTTCCTCAACTCCCACAGCTTTTGGGGCTGTCGCGGATTTCTCGAGCGGTACCACCTGAAGAGGTTCTTGGTTCTCGGCCACGGGCATGGCGAGCGTCGCCTTCAGCCCCAATAAGCACAGCATCCCTAATACGATCAGCTTCATCATCTTGATATCTGTAAAGAAATTCAAAATATCAATATGATCCCTGGACAGTCGAACGATTCAGAGATTGACGAAGTTTCCTTTGAAAATTCTATTCAACTGGATAGTTGAGAATCACTTTGATGATACGGAGAGAAAGAGAGAGAGAGGAAGTTCTACCAGGGAACGTAGTTCCTCTTAATCTCCCAGTTAGAAGAGCGGACGTGAATGCGCAAACTCTCTGATAGGGTAGACGTACCGGTAATGGCTACTACACCGACGTATTGACTCTGACGATATTTTTTCATATTAAATTCTAGATTTCTAAAATCAACAATAGTCTGTGAAATTTTCTTTTTGATCTAGAAAACTATCGAAATATGTAAAAAAGATAATTTGAAAATATTTTTAAAAGCCCTGTATAATTGATTACAATTTTTATTTATCCGTGATTTGAAAAACGAACGAGTCGAAAATGATAAAAATCCACGGAGTGGTTATAAATGGTGGCGCATCTACCCTAGTTGGCACGAATGAATGGAGACGGCCGTATGAATGGACGAAAATCGAGCGAACGAGAGTCGAGAGAGGCGGGAAAAAGGGAGGGAAGGATGGACAAGGGGCTGTTGTGGAAGAACCGGCAGGAAGGAGAGGGACGAGTGACATTGAACCGAATGCTTTGAATAAGGCGAGCGTTATGGAGCTAATGACAGGATGCGCGCCCCTCGCGCTCGTTACGATCCCGCAAGCGTGTTCGCGCGACTTATCCACGCACGGACGCCTGTCTCTTTCTTCCTCTCACTCGGGATCATCTCGCTTCTTCTTCGTTCTACCGCGAATTAATCGTTCGCATGCAACACGTGTGTCGTTGTTGCGTGTTCGCCACCGGATGCTCGCCGCGAGATTACCTGAGGGGGTCATTCCTGCGCTGCGATTTCATTGAACGAACCGTTGATTTTAGGGAAAGGATCGTAGATAAAAGCTGGGAATTAAACATTCTCTAATTCATCCATTAATGGGAAAGAAATTAAATGCAAAAATTAAGTACTCAGCGAGGAACTACGCGCATTGTCTTTCTAATTGGCTAGCTTTTCATTGGAAACGATGAAAATAATGACAGAAATTTATTCGTATCATCAAACGAGAGTCAAAAGAGCGTTGCGTGGATCGCGAACGGAAAGCATGGGTGCAACTTCCGGAGCGGATGGAAACGGAAGAAGAGAGGACACCGTGCACCTCGTTGGAATCAAGATACCGCCTGGTTCGAAACTATCACTCCGACGAGTGAAATTTAATTCTAGCGTTCAATTGTGAACACCGTATGGGGGCTCATCGTCGTGTAAATCGATTCTGTTGCGCACGTCGATATCGTATGAACGAGGATCGCGTTGAACGAATGGTAGAAAACGAGTGGGCAGACGCGAAACCAGAGACAATCGACGCGTGGTGTCCATGCGACACCGTGTTGCGACTCGAGGCGAAATAAAACGCTGACGAAATTTATCATGCAGCAGGCTTGCCAACTTGAAACTTCAATTACAAGCCGATCAATACAAAAGAAAATCCCTCGAAAATCTTTGAAAATAATAGCTCTGTCCTGGTTTCTATAATATCAAGAAGTAGCTTCGAGTACAGTGTGTTTTAATAGAAGCAGCCTAACCCATATCTAATATAGGCATAATAAATAGTATCTCTCGACTACCGAGGCAAATGGTGGGCAGTATACATTAAACTATAAGAAACAACAAACGCAACGAACGTTCCGAGTCGAGCGACCTTCCGCTTCAAACACGCGGCCAATCGAGCGAGTAATTTATACCGAGAGGAAGTTGTCCACGTTCGCGAACCTTCTCTATCATAGATGCTCGTCAACGATTCTCCCGAAGAGGCTAATTAATATTTTGAATGAGAATGTTAAAAATTAGGACGACACCGGGAGTTACATTCGCGGAGGAGAAAAATGGCCTGGTTATCAGGAACGGCACGCCTTCTGGAGAACGCGACCAGGTTGGAATGCGTTCTCCAAGAAGGAGAAGGTGTTCGCCGCTCCTCGGAGAGGGAAAACGACAGGAACGAGGTATAAAGAGAGGAAAAGAGGCAATGCAACAATCCAGTTTTTACGATGACCAAGCGTGTACCAGCGCGCGAGTTCGCGCGTTTGGTAATGTTGCTTGGCCGAACCGTCGACTTTCGTCGCTCCGAATCGTTCCGACTTTGCTTCAGACTACGTAAAGCAAGAGTTGTTGAAATTGAAAAAAAAAAAAAAGAGGTGAATGTTCGGAGGCGTGTACAGAGTATGTCCAAATTCCACCGTGACTACCTTCTCTATTGGCAATATCTGTCAAAAAGGAACAATATTTTGTTTCTAACTTATGATCACCGTTATCGACTGACGAGTAATATATTTTAAATAAAAATAGATAATAGCAATGGTCCTTGGACACGATTGTTTTCATGTCAGTCGGCGTGTTAATAACAATCGTTCAGGTTGGATCGTGTTGCAAGCGGACGCAATGGGCCGCAATAGAGTTAATTGCAAATTACTTTGCGAGTCACGAGAGCTTTAGAGTTACACGTTCGTTTGGTAGAGTGCGTGTTTCTGCGAGAAAGCACTCGTTTCGCGTTCCACGTTTCGATTAATATAAAAGAACCGACCGAGAGAAACGATCGAACCAGTTGTACGAGGAGAAGAAGAAAAAGATTGAAGGCACGATCCAACGAGCAGGGATTGGTCGACGAAGAGGAAATGCCTGTGAAAGATGATGGACACCCATTACCTTATCAAGATCATCAGAGATGTAATAATGGTGGTAGCCAGTTACAAAAGAAGACGCGACCCGTCAAGTGGTTCACCGCTTCAATGCTTTCTGCCCTTCTCTCGTTTTCTCTCTCCCTCCTTCCTCTTTCTCGCCTTCTATTATTCGCGATACCTCGCTTATTATCGACCTCTTATCCATTTCGAGGCTCGCGATTGTCGATCTAATCTAACCACATTGAATCAACCGGACGAGGAATGCGTCGCAGTTGACGCGAACGTACAGGAATGCCGGTCATTTGAATCAATTTTCAAAATGAATCGTTCAAATTCAACGGAATTCCGCGAACTCAGCTTGTCGGAATTACTTGGATGTTCGTGTAAAGCGTTCCCTGTGTCAGCAATCGCGTTACGAGACTTCGAAATGGAAGGGTTAATAATTGAGAAAAGTAAATTATGCGAAAATTAGTCGCGTGATTTCTCGTTTCTTCTTGTCGAAAGGAGATTAGAAGATCCTCGGTTGGCTCATTCGCGTCTAGCTGTGTCGCAGCCTCGCTAACTCGCAGATTAAACTGATTAGCGACTAGCTAATTAGTCGCAAGGAAATATCCACCGTGAGAGAAGGACGAATTGAAAAAAAAAAATAGTAGGTTGCAAGAGGAGGAGGAGGAAATAAGTTACGCAAACACGCGGTCATTCGTTGAGAAATCTGCGAAGAAATTATACGTTTCGACGATAGTTTAGGATTTTCTTTCAATCACCGGATTTCGAAGATAGTTATTTCACGGATCTTACGGAGAACCTTTCTATAAATTGTATATCTTACTTTTTATCACCAGCGTTTCTCTTCTAAAATCTTTTTGAATTCCTGTATCTATTAAGATTTCCAAATTTTCAATTTTTTGTCCGCTGTTAATTGAAAACAAAAGCGTGTACGCCACGACGTTCACTATGGATCGATTGATAGATTGAAATAACAAACTTCAGCTATAATCGAGAGTCTGATCAGCTATCGTAAAGCAAATTACACATACCGGGGTATGTATCGATACACGTATCGGTTCCTAGGTTTCACGATGCAAATTACAATGTGTGTAGATTGGTATCGGCTTGCATCGATGCAGAAATCAGAATGCTATTGCAATTTCATAAAACCTAGGGCTTGTTGCATGCACCGGAACACGTTTCAGTGTGCGTAGACCACTTTAGGCCACGATTACAGTGGAAATGTTTTCTGGCAAAATTCATTTCGGACATTTCGATAAGCTAGGATAATTAGACTTTCAGAGGGAATTAATTTATTCGATTCTGTTGACGTTCAATATTATTCCATTATTCAGATTGTATTTATATTAAAAGAAAAAGGCGATGTATGCAAAAATCCCATTACTTCTTATAATTATTGAACTATTAAATGAACTGTGAATAATAAACCGAATAATCCCTCGTATCGCCTTTTACCTTAGAAAAAACTACTAATTAAAAATATTTGATCGAATCGAGATTCCTAGACCTGTCAACCTGATGCATAAGCAAAGAAAAAAAAAAGGGAATAGATTTAATAGAAAAAAAAATGTTACTCACGTATTTTTTCTGTCGTCCGTGGAACTGGTAACAGCAACAGTTGTTGTCGACTCTAGTGACCCGGTCCTGGCTCTTCCTGCTGCTCCTTGTCTGACCAAGGAATACTCTCACCGATTAAAACTGTCGCTGGAGAGACCGGTTAAAACTCAGTCGAACTCTCCGTAATGGAACTCGGCCAAACAGCCCAGACAAAAGAGGATTATCGAAGAGATGCACCGTTCAAGATGTACCCTCTTCTTTCTTTCTTTCTCTCTGTGTTTTTTATTCGCGCGCGTGCAATTATGCTCGTTTGCAAGGGAACAACCGTTGGTGATCGGGATGAAGGTTGGGTCGTGTGTCGTGATGGAATCGTCGGGGCCCCGCTTATATACCCATTTACCCACCAGCGGTTCAGCTTGGCCAGGATCGTATAGGGGGCCCCGACCCTCTTCGCCCGTCATCGCTAGGGGCCCCTCTTTTACTCTTCTCTTCTCGTCTCACTTCGATCCTTCTTCTTTCCTCCACCTATCTACTGATCCCTCCACCTCACCCCTTTGTCCACCTGTGACCCGTACTCTGTCCGTTTCAGTCACGTCTGCTTCCCTTACGGTCGCTTTTCCTTCTTCCTCCGTGGATCGAGATCTCTTGTGTCGTGTGTTGGCTGTCGGCCCTGTGTTGGCCGATTCCTCTCTACACGACCCACGTCGTGCTCGAAGCAGGAGCAAAAGGAACCACAGACAGATTTTCAAGCATCGAGTCGGATCTGTAACGCGACTCGTGCCTCCTCGACCATTTCATCCGTCGATGCTTTTCCGGATGGTTAGGCTCCACAGTGTCAAAGAAACTTACGGATTTTCAAATCTGCCGATCGGTTCCATGCTCTTCTGGTGTACAATGGATTCTTGGTACTTCCTTCTGGATCAACATGGATCTTGTTAGGGTCGACAAAATCGGATGGAAACGAGTAAGAACGTTTGGACGTCGGAAAGAATGCTTGGGATGTTCGGTTGGAGAGATTGTACGCGTGTTGCTTGATCCTCTTAGTGGGAGATACGTGTTAATTTGTATTTCTGTGAGATACGTTCGTGGAGTGAATCGAGGAGTTGAAATTTTGATATTTTATAAGGGTTTCGATGGGATCTCCTTTTCGGAACTTCAGTCGTGTAGTAGTTTTATCTTCTTGTGTTCGGAATCTTGATCTTCATATACGCATAGTATTCTTTGATAAAATATTTTCCTGATTCGAAGAGAACCATTTCGATCAATTCTAGTTTCGTTTCCTCATCAAACGTCCTCATGATTCAGCGTCGACCGGAAGTGTAACTCGGTGGCAGGTTGATAAGCGCGAAAAGGACCTTGATGTTTGACCGCGATCGAGATATTAGGACATGTTGATTGGTCGGTAGGTGATTTTTCTGGCCTCCTTCGTAATCTACACGATATTTCATGCAAATATCTGATTTTCTTTTCATTCAGGTCACGTTCAACTATATTCTATTAAACATTTTTCTTCTCATAACATACACGAGTGTGAATAAGATAAAAGGTCAACATTCTACGTGCTTCCAGTTGGATTATTACTAAATCGGAAATATTAAAAACGACATTGCATTACATTATGTTAATGCACATCGCTATCGCTGCGTATACGTTCTCTTATTACGTTCTTGCGTTCACACTTGAATGATAATTCCTTTCTTTAACCGAGCAGAACAAATTCTTCTGTCTTCAAGACTCGAATCATTCTATTTACGCGTCTTTACGCGACAATAAGATACGTTATGCTTGTTTTTCTGGTTTATCAATAAGGATGCTACTCTCAACGAGCGTAAACGGAATTGTCTCGCACGTGTCCAACATACCGGACAGCCCGAAAGATGCGGCTTTCGTGGAGCTCGTTTACGCGACGGAAATCCGCCTGGAATTTCTAACAGACCTTAACTAATTCTAATTTGACCGTGTTGGCGTCATAACAGTTTAAGCTTTGCGAATGTTCCCTGGCTTCTGAATCATTGCCAGGTGTTTTTAAAAAGTTCATTCGACTTATCTCATTCTGACAAGAAATTAATTAACCCTTATCATTAGCAAACTGTACCCTAATTTCAATTAAGCTAATCGCAACAAGATGCAAAAAGATCTCCGTTCAATAAAATAAATTAAAGAAACGACGTCCTAACGAACTAGAGAGTTCAGAAAATTTCAAGAATACCGAAGAACATAGCCAATGGCAATCGTAATCGAATTAACGCGAATGTAAATCATTTTCGTAACGTTGAAGAGTCGGTCGTGAGTCATCGAGCTTGTTTCCTGTTCGTCTCGAGCGCGTGTCTCGCCGCGTTATGTAAACGCTGAATGCGTGCAAGATGCGTGCGACAAACGAGGCCGCGGCTCTCGGTCCCTCGCGATTTTCCATCGCGAATCGATTCGATCCTCGACGAACTGTTGTCTGCCATGGTCGGGTCAACGAAGCGACGCGACGCATCTCGACGCTTAGACCGGTTCCCGTCTCAGGGCGAAGGTCGTCGTCTGACGCGAGGTCGTCGATACCTGGCGCCGATGGCCACTTCTCTAGGGATTTTTACTCTTCTACTACCTTACAAGACACGGTAATTGAAGAAAAATTAGAAGAAAAATGGTGCATCTTAACAGGTGTTAGATAGAATTATTGTTCTCCAAAGATCTGTCCTCGTCCGTTTCCTCGACCTCCGAATTCCTCGAGGACGAGCACAGTCGTGGTCGATGATTTATCATCGAGTGGTTGCCATTTCGGTCAGGATTCGTCGAGAGAGATTTGATCAGCGGCTATTGGACGCGTGCTCGTTGTTCGCAAGGCTTTCCTCTCTTCGCTGAATCGTTGAAATCACCGGATTTTAAGGTACCGCGATCTTAAACGACGTTTCGATGTTAATCGCACCGATTGACCATCGCGTATCCCACACACGATGATACGATGAGGGAAAGAATTCCTCCGACGATTCTATTTTTCTCAAAATACCTGTTTATTCGATGATACCATCTGTACTCATTTTTTCCGTCACGAAAAGGAAACAGAAAAATCCTTCGTCAGATAATATCACCGGGAGTGTTAACAGATAAACAGATTCTCTGAAGGCAAACCGACTCGCTACCGATTAAGATCGCACGGCAGATGATTGCGAACGGTCATAAATGTTTCCTGATCGGCACAGGCTTCGTTTACTTCATGGAACGTGAACAAATGAATCGCGTTCTTGGCAACACTTGCATTCGTCTTGCTAATAACAGGAGCTAGGAAACCGATTATTCATCCTACATCTGTAGCAGAGAACCTTACGATAATTATTCTCTGTTATGGTTTCCTTGAGAGATGTAGCATTTTCTTTCAACATTTCTTATTTTGATATTCCAATAACAGTAATCATTAATTATATTTCATCGTCCCGATCAAATTATGCCAATTCACGTTCACCACTCGTTCAATTTATTTCATCCAACACGAACGACGGCAGGATCGTATTGCCAGGGAACGTTTTTGTTCATCCTGTTCAGGACGAGGGGGAAAAATAAAGGATACAGGAGTTGTACAGAAATAGCCGCGTTGCCTACAGGAAAACGCGTAATGACGTTCGACGTTATAACGCGTTTTCCTGTCGGTGGTGATCGTTCGAACAGAGGAGAGCGTGGTGAATCCACGTTCTTCCTGGATCCTCTGGTGCCAGTTGCCGAGGAAACGACCACCTTACAACCAGCGATTCCCAACCGTTACGTACCGTTAGCGGCGCTGTTGATGTTGAAAAATACGCTTTTTGCGTGCAACAACAGCCAACTGAAACGGTCCGGTAATTGTAGAGATTTCCAGCTTAAAATAGACACGATTCCATACCGTGGAAACCATGGATTTCTCGCGTTGCCATGGAATCACAGGTTTTTCCTGTAGATCTTATTCACCTGTTGAGTCGTCCTTTTTCGTTCACTCTGCACCTTCTTATACTTTTTCGCATGATTCTTATTCGATAAGAAAACATGTTTTGCCAAATTGGCAAATTGTCAGATCGTTATTTGCGCTATGCAATCTCTAGATACCATAGTCCGGAGAGTCGGCGACGCACGGTACTCGTGACAGGCTTTAAGCTTTGGGAATCCCAATTCTTGGTTCGTTAGACTTAGAAATTTATTGCTAACATTGCTTCCCGAATATTTCCTCCCACTTCTGATCGTTTTACTCGGCGGAAAACATCCGTGTTTATCGCGACGAGTTTCGATCGTGCCTGGAATTTGAGATCCATAAAGTTATAAATTATCGTATTTGGACAAGGTACGACCTTTGATCGTTCGTGTCCATCGGCTTCCTGATGATAATAAGAAGCGTGACTCACGAGCCGAACAACCTCGAAATTATCTATCGTCTATATTCCTTCGATCGTTAGGCAATATGTTACCGTGGACCGTTAAAATTTTACCTCGCTTTATGAGTATTCAGAACATTCACCTTTTTAATTTGCATTTTTATGAATTGCTCGACCGGTGCTACAGAGCAATACCGTGTACCTTGTCGCGGAAAGGTGACACGACTTTGAGGAAATGTGAAAGAGTTATTGTAAATACGTATGTTGTATTCGTGGATGATCACGATGTACGTCGGCATCGTGATTTTTCACAGTCGAGTACGTGCATCAAGGACGTGTAACAGAGGCTCATTTAAAAACAGAGGCATCATTAGGAAGAATGCAAAAAAACGGACAAAGAGTCGTGGTTGTTTGAGAATTCTTAGGAAATCATTGGTTCGTTAGTTCGCGAACGATTGTAAAAATTTCTGACGAACAAATAACCCGTGATTTATGACTTAAATTTTTTACCATGTTAGAAACTTGCAAATTTTCAACAGTCTCTTTGTAAATCTCGTTTACATGCAAATTTATGTGTTTCGAGTACACTTTAAAGGATTTATACGAATTTACGAGTCTGAATATATTTGAAAATCAAATTATTCGCTTTTTTAAATCGTTCCTTCATGGTCGAGGCAAATGAAATTACACGAATTGTGTTTATATGAGTGATTTCATATTTTTCACCTTGCTCCACCAGATTTATCAAGGCGCGTTATCTCTTTAACAGAAACTTTCAATTAAACGTGGCGCGATGATCATCCCGATGTCGAGTTCCACTAAAATCGCCAATTACTCAATTAGTTATCTGAATGGTCAGGTCTCTTCAGGTTCAACCCTGTTGCGGCACAAGAAACATGGACTGGTATCAAAACCGGCTGGAGTTTGGGATAAAATTAGAAGTGAAACAGCAGAGTCAAGGGCAAGAATAGTCATCTAAATAAATGTTCTTTTCTCCCATTATCTCCTTCTTCCACCCCGTTGGCAATTTTTCTTCT